CCCTCTATGCTTCTTCCAACTCTACTTCCCTTAGCCACCCAAAGGTCTTTCCTGCTTTCCTTTGTGGCAAGTAAGGGAAGGTGGAGGGTGTGTCTTTTGAGAAGGGCATTTCTGCACAAGAATGCTCACTGAATCACCTATGCAATTTGAATGATTGTGATGGGAAACAGTAAAATTCTGTTTTAGTTTCTAAAAGTTGTGTTTAATATATCCCTGATACTAATTAAATAGAAACCTTACAACAATATTGTGGTCCCGGTCACACAATATTGTGGTCCCCGGGGGGGGGGGAAGCGTGGCTGTTTGCCCCGGAGCAAAATAACACGCGGCCGCCCGATCACACGTTCCGTCGAGGTCCTGTGGTTAGGGGGTGAGGTGCCGATCACACGGCTATCCAGCAGCGCGGCAAAGAAGCGGTGCAGCGCGATCACAGCAGCGATCGCTAGGCGCCGCTCCCATGGCAAACTGGTGTTCGTTTTACCGCAGTTTGTGCGCATGTGCCGTTGGGCGCTTTTGCACATTCTGCGGAGACTTGGGGGGGGACCCTTGTTTGCGAAGGAAAATTGGCGGGCGCTGGATGCACGGGAGTCCACCGGAAACGTGATCAGACGCCCGCCCTTGCCCCGCGGTGTCCGGAAACCAGTACCTCGTAGGCACTAATTTTTTAGTCCGCATCTTTGGCAGGACGCCACGGGATAGTCACGGGAGCACTACGCTTCCCAGATGTTGCGGTATGATCGCGCCCGGAAAATCCGCCTATCATCCGTATCTTTAGCACGGCAAATGCTCCGTGTGACCGGGGCCAGAATAAACTTTTAAAAATCTGATGTGAACAAACTGAATAATTTTATATTGTTACTTATGGCCATATGCCTAACACTATGACCTTTTCTCTCTTGGAGTGACAATAGTCACTCTCAGTGCCCTGGTTTCTCTCTCGGAGTGACAGTAGTCACTCTCAGTGCCCTGGTAGCAGTCACATTGATATGTCTGCTTTTGTACATTACTACTTCATAGCACTTTTTACAACTGTGTAGGAAGATACAAAGGTTTTTTCCTAGGGTGCTATGTCTGTGAGGGCCCATTCTTACTTGCAAGTCATTAAATTGTGCAGTAATGAACACATGTGCATAAACTAGGCCCAACAGTGAGAACCAAAAGAAAAGGAGTTAAGTCTTGGTGTATGAAATACAAAATATACAGTATTTATAGACAATGAAACTGAATGTCTATTGTATACTGAGATCAGGCAATAGAGTAGCTCATAGTAAATTTCCAAGCAGCCTCCAAGCAATAGGAAAGGCAGAAATGGTGCTCCTTGAGCACATCAGAAACCACCATGTACTTGTGGGTCATGTGCAAAGACACTGACTGGCTTCAGCTAGATTTTGAGAATTTCCCAAAGGCACAGTTCAGAATATTCACTAGTAGGGCCTTGTGAATTTACAACATCACTACAACAGTGTTTTGCGTTCTTGTTAGGAAAACAACATGCTACTCACATTTTAATAAATATAAGGATATTGGGACTTAATTTTTCAGAGAACACTGGTGTTATTTAGGTTATCAGGCAATGTGTATGATTCCCAGAATGCAGAGATACCTACTTTAGCATTAATACATTTAAAGCAGGAAATTAGCAGAAGGGTTTTAACTATCCTAGAGAGTCAAACTCTGCTCTTAAACTCCTGGGAATCCTGAAGTCTCGCAACTGGTTGTTTATGAGATAGAAAAATTTATGAGTGGGACTATATGATGAATTCTAATTTAGGTGGGGAGGGTTTAATTCCTCACCAACAGTACACATCTGCATGTGATATGTGCCTGAGTAAAAGAATACCTTGCTTTACTGTCATATCCTCTCTTGTTGCTGTGGTAACCAACTGACAGAATGGGGGTAACTGACAAATGAGTAGAAGAGGCACTGACCATCTTAGGATCTCAGTGGTAAGAGAGGAGACGTATTAAAGAAGCACTCATGTGTGAAAGGCAGTATGCCATATTTGTAGGCACCAGCAAAAGCAGGCTGCTTGTTACTAAGGTCAAAATGCACCTTAAAAACTTCACACAACACAGAACCTAGTTGCTGTTCTTTTTTCTATATATATACTTCCACAGAGAGTTCAAGTAGCTTCAAGGAGTAGATCCTAATGTAGTAAATCTCAAGGCTGAAATCCTTTGTCACCATATGTGGCTTAATATGCTGATGCTAAGAAGCATGTGGCTTTATGGGTTTTCCTCCAGGAACAGGATGCCCTTACTCAGCAAAGCCAGACCTCATATATTTTGCATTTATTCCCACATCTGCAGGCCAACCTGGTTGGTTGCCGGTTCACCTTCATGGCATATGTGGGTGAACACTGAGCCTGCCTGTGCATAAATTACCAGGGTAATATTAGTTTAGGGTTGTTTCACATTGTATTCTAAGTTTTTCTTGCGGTATTTTCATAAATGGTTGCTTTGGTACTGAAGTACAAAAAACTACTGTGAATGTGTGTCTGGGGTCCAGGGGCATATGGAAGATGTTGTATCTCATTTTGTGTAGGCATCAGAAATGAATGACTGAGGGCATAACTTCATTCAATCTACCTACAGTTTTCTCCTGCCTCCCTCGCTTCATTGTGCCATGGAAAAGGTAGCACCAGAGTACCACCAGTTGCTCAGCATATTGAAAGGGGTACTAAAGACACATACACTGGCAAAACAGCCAATACAAATAGTTCCAATAAAGGTAAATTCAAAATAACCTGACCTTGTAGTTAATTACCCTTGGCCCCTGCCACACGGCAGGGGAAAAGCCTCTAAAAGCGCGGCTTTTAAAAGCCGCACCAAAGTTGAGACGCCGCGGCGGGATTCCACAGATCCCCTGGCCGCGGCGCCTTTTCTCCCCGGTGCGATCAGACGCCGGGGAGAAACCAGGGCCCTGACAGGGAGCCTGCCGAACTGCGCATGCTCTGACATGTCGGCTAGGGGCCGGAAATGCACCGGCGCAAAGACACGCCGGCGATCCGTCAGCCCGGCTTGCGGTGCGTCATCCGGATGAACCACCTCAGTAGGTGGTTCACTTTTGACGCGCCGCAGCCGGGGAAAGGGCCAGATCGGAGACGGGAGCGCCACGCCAGCCAGATGTTGGCGTGGGATCGCGCCCGTTTGCTCCGTCTCCAATCTGGCCCACTCCCGGCCCAAAACGCCTCATGTGAACGGGGCCCTTGATGCTCTGGAACTTTTCAGCTTGTGACACATTGTGGAGAATGCTCTTGACTGATTGTGTGGCTCCCTTTTAAAACGTGATGGTTTTGGTAATTTTGTAGAAAATTATTGAGACCCAGAATTCTGCGGATTTTGTGTGTGCAGAATGCAAACCTTAAGCATATTGAAACTAGTTTGTGAGGTTTTTTCCTTGTGTTTTGAAGATAAAGAGCTAGACTTTATATGTGTGTGTTCATCAGCTGCATGTGTGGATGATCCATGGTGGATCTCCCGTCACAAATTCAAACTTTCATTTAACTTAAAAAGAAAGTGCTGTTCAGTTCAGCGGTTCACACCTTTGGCCATTAATGATCAAGTGATATAAGTGTGCCCCAGCACTTAGTAGGTATGGCAGCATTTCCAGCTGGAGGGGAAAATAGCTACATAAATTATTCTTTATCACAACTGATGAGTTTTTGAAAATGCAACTATGAATATAAAGATGGAATATTAAAAGACAGTGAATATAAATCTGTCTTAATGCTTTACATAATCACCTTTTCCTATGGCTCAAGTTAACCTACAGATTCAAATTTAAAATATACAAACAAATTCCCCAAATAACAAAAAAACCCAAAAAACCTTTCCATAGCATCATATTGTGTTTGGTACTAGAAATAACAGACTAGTGGCAATTTTATATGGCTTTTGTGATACCTTTTTCATTTTTAAATTTATTTTTATGCATTTCTATCTGGTTTTGTATCTGTTTCCATGTTGTTCTTATAGTTTTCCTTCCATTCTCTTTTGGTTACATTTCTGTCATCTTAGGAAAGCCCTTTTCTCACTCTCATTTTTGGATATGTCGTACCAGTTTTTGGCCTTGCAAGTGTACTTAGCTGAAAGACCAACCAGCAGCAGATAAAAAAGACTAACTGGGTTATTAAAAATATTAATTCAGTTAAGCCAATGGCTGTTTTTGAAATTGCTTATAGGCACCTGCCTATATCTCATTAAGTTAAAACCTAGAAGCTAATCCCGTCTGCTAGCAGCCATGTGTGAGTGCAACTGATATTCATCCTCCTATGGAAATATTGAACTAAATGCTACCGAAATGAGAATTACCATCTGTTTCTTCCTGGTAGTGTGGTCATAGCTAAATAACTTAACACAAAACATACTAGGGCTGGACTACGTTTTCTTGCCACCGTACATGTGATAAATTTGCATTTCTATACCTGCCATGGATATGGCTCCACTGTACTTCTAATAGGCTCAGTGGTGTCAAGACATACGCTAGGTTGTGGAGAGAATTCCTTCCCAAATTGGATCCCCACATAACATTAACTGGAGCATTCACCATGATGATATGCTGCATGTTAGGAGCTTATCTCACCATGCTAATTCATTGGAAAGGGAATCCCTGATGATTGCAGCAGTCTGAGGTCAACAGTTAACGTTAGCAGTGAGATAATAAACTAATTAACAGCAGCACAGATCACTTCCTGATAAAGCAGTACTCTAATGCAGATGTTAAAAAAGTCAAAGGTAGACTGGTATACTTTCCTCCCCCTTACTAAGAAAGTTTCCTTTCTCACTATTACCTCTACCTGTCTGAGGACATGTTCTTGGAATGTACTGCTGACCCTTGCATAATACTTTCTTAAGAAAATATATGTCCTTTTGGAAGTTTAAACTAGAGAGGATTCTTATTTTTTTCCCCTCCAAGCCAAGAATTCACTTAATTCTCTTGTGTCCATGTTCAGATATAAGCAAGGCTGATCACGTGCTTCTCTGCCTCTTTCTCACAGGACGGGCTTTGCCATGCCAGCAGTTGGAATCTTCAGTGTGTGCCTTGTGGTGATTGCAGCTATTGTCAACCATCCACTCCTCTTCCCAAAGGAGAATGTTACGGTCCCTGAAAACACAGAGGAGATCATCCAGAAAATGAAAGAGCGGGAGGAGAGCCTGAGGCTAGAACGGCTTAAACTGGAGCAGGAGATGGCTGTGCAAGAGACTTTAACCAAGTCTTCAGAAAAGGCCGTAGAGTCAGAAGAGCAGTACACCTATGATCCACTCTCTTGGAACTTCTGGACTGCCCTGTCCTTGGTAGTTTTCCTTTTTTGCTGATTGAGCTGTGGAGGCAGGACTACCAAGAAGGGACATGGCAAGACTACAGCATTGAGGAAGATGAAAATGCAGTGCTGGGAAAGGCATTCAAGGGGCTTGTCCTGCCAGATAAAGTCACATTGGTTAATTTCTATGAAAGATGCATCCAGACTGTGACCAGTGAAATTGCTAGGAACAGAGAGCTTGTGGAAGGATTTGCAGATGATTTACTAGAGGCTCTAAGGAGTGTATGTAACAGGGATGCAGACATGGAAGTAGAGGAATCCATAGGAGTTGGGAGCATGTATGAAAACTGGAGGGTTCAAAAACCCTTGGCCTGTGACTTTATTGTCCCTTTTTCTCCTCCAGAGCCATATTGTTTCAAATTTGAGACGTGGCTTTCAGGAGAATCTGTTCCACCAGACAAACAAGGTTATGGTATGATAAAGATCTGCCGGGCAGATGAGAACTCAACAGGCTGTATCTGTGACAAGACAAAGCTGGGGGAAGACCTATTGTGCCTCCTTCATAGCAAAAAGAACCAGGCTAGACACAACAACCATATGGAGGACCTTCTTTGCTACAAAGACTCTCAATATCTTGATGGTGACCAGGTTATGACATGGTTCCAGGTTGCACTTACCAAGGCATGGAACAAGATTTCACACAAGTATGAATTCAATCTCACTTTCAGTCTCCTAGACTCTCCTGGTGCCCTAAAAATAAAGTTCAGGTCTGGAAAGACCATTGCCTTCAACCTTAGCCCTGTGGTCCAGTTTGCTGATTCTGATGTATACTTTATCTCCCACTTCCCATGCAGTGGCCTGGCAGACGGTTCCACATCCAGCATTCACTGGTTTCTCACATTTGCAGTGTATGAGAAAAGGTACATCCAGTTTGTTTCAAAAATTCTGCCTGTCAACTCCTGCCACCTTAGCTGTCTCCAGATCCTATCCTTCCTTCATGGAAAGCAGTGTAGTCTAACAGGACCAAGCAGTCTTACGAACTACCACTTGAAAACAGCGATGCTGCATTTGCTACAGACCCATCCCACTTCAAACTGGGCTTCTGACTTCCTGGAGGCCAGGCTGCAAGACGTGCTCAAATTTTTGGAGAAAAGCTTGCAAGAAAAGAGGCTTTACCATTTTTTCATTGGAAACAGGAATTTGCCAGAGGAACTGGGCATTCCAGTGGTGTTCCAGAAGGCGGAACCTATGAACCTTTTCCGTCCCTTTGTATTGCAACGAAGTGCTTACAGGAAAACGATGGACATGTTTCATGAGATGCTGAGAAATACAGCTGCTTTAATAAATGAGTACACTGTGCACGTCCCCATGGGAAGGGCAACTCCACTAAACAAGGAACCACTGTAGTAAAGCAGTTGGCCCCAAATCTTTGAAAACTACAACACAAGCAGATCTCCCCATCTATGGAAGACTGAAACTAATGGGGGGGAGGGTGTCTGCAAATGATTCCAAAGATTCAAAAGTGCATGAGCACCATGTCTCTATTCTACCAGTATTGCTGGTTGATGTAATGCAGCTTTGAATGTTTTATCACTGAGTAGAATGTTTGCCAGGATAGTGAGAAATATGAAAGAAGCCTCTAATTTATTCTTCTATCTGCATGGGGATTTCCTAGGTGTGTGCTTTGTTTAAGGTGGGAGTCATGGCATCTCTGCAAAAACAGCTCTGTCTTTCCAAATGGCAGCAGCTCTCTTGGGACAAGCGTTGTTTTGATGTTCTTGACAGAAGGGTTTCAAGTCTGTACTTTGCAAATGTACCAACCTTCATTGCATGACTTTGGCTGCGGTCACACACACTAAATAATCCATTTTCAATCCACTTTAAATGCCCTTTCAAATTGGATTTTGCCAGTTTACACGGTAAAATTCTAGTTGGAAAGTGCACTGAAAGTAGGTTATTTAGTGTGTGTGACCACAGCCAGCGTGAGGGAATTCTTTAAATGAATCGCAAAGTGTTGCAAGAGTGCCACCTCAGTACCTGCAGTAGTCTATAAAAACAGTAGTTTTTATACCTGCAGTAGTCTATGAAAACAGCCAGAGTGGTGTAGTGGTTAAGAGCAGTGGACTCTAATCTGGAGAACTAGGTTTGATTCCCTACTTCTTCACATGAAGCTTGCTGGATGACCTTGGGCTAGTCACAGTTCTCTCAGAACTCTCTCAGCCTCACAAGGTGCCTATTGTGAGGAGAGGAAGGGAATGTGATTATAAGCCACTTTGAGACTCCTTAGGGTAGAGGAAAACAGGATATAAAAATGTATGCTGCTTCTTCTATGTACTGTTGCACTCAAAATCCCTGAAATAGAGCTGTAAATCCTATTGATCTTTAATTACCTATTAATCTATGGGGGTAATTCCAAAAGCCAACCAGTGATGCAAAGCATAATGCCAGAATGGGCTCAAACATGGCTTTTCTGCCTGTTATAAAGGTTTACGTCTTTCAAGACTGAGGTCAGTCTGAGGTGGTAGAAGAGAGCTGGGGGGGGGAGGAATTAAAACAAAGCTCATCTAACACTAAACATTCCCTGCAAATGGAAAAGTAGCACAACAGTTGTAAGTTTCCCTATTTGCTACTTCTCTATTTGCAGGGTTTTTTTTAACAAAACATAGTACAGTCTGAAGTAATACAGTCCATTCTGACATCTCAGCGCTCTTTTTTTTTTTTTACCTCATTCTGTTTCTAGACCAGTCCTGACACCCCACTAAAATATCTTTTCAGGTTTCTCTTAAGTAACTTTGTGTTACTTATGTCTTTTTAAAGAAACTGGATAGAGACAAAACTATTCCTTGGCACAAAGAACTACCTGGTAATATTCTGAAAAAGCAGGAGTGGCATAAAGTATCCACTAGTCCGCTTCCAGGCTGCTGAATTTACAGTGTACTTCCCCACCCACCCCATCCTGCAGCCTATTTTTACATGTTAGTTTTATAGGCAGACCACGGGGGAAAAACAAACTGTGTTTCGTATTTCCTGAAAGGGTCTAAATTTAGTGTGCTGAAAGCACCATAATGTGTGTCCCAGGTTCCACAAGAAATGATATCCTGGACAGGAAGGCAAAAGTTCATATGTTTGGTGTAATAGGAAGAAAGGGGACAAAATAAAACAAGTTTTTGTTTTTTTAAGATTACTTTGTATTAAGGCATAGTTGCAGCTCCGTTTTTAAAAAACCATTACAACTATTTGTCTGATGTGAGTCTCAGCTCTTGCTGAATTCTGATTAGGTAAAGCATGTGGAGTCAAGACATCCTTAGGTGGCAGTGGGCAGGGGTAAGACTCGCCTACTCCCTTTGACTCTACTGCCTGGGCTGCAGTATTTTGCTGCTGTTTCTTCAGTATAGCTCAAATACTTGCTTTGCCATTTCCTGTTTTGACAGGAACCTAAAAGAGTTTATATCACTATTGTAGGATGTGTGTGTCGGATTGCTTTTTTAACATACTTTGAGCAATAGTCTTGAAATGAAAATCAGATCCACATGGAAACTAAAAATACCTTCACTGCACAGCAGAGAGAACTAGATGCAGTAAGCAGAATCTTTGAGCTGCGCAGTGAAGTTTTGTCCCCTGAACTGCAGGCTGTGGAAGGTCAGTAGTTCAGCAGTTCAAGACCCGGGTGCCGCAAGACAGGGTGAGCTCCTGTCTCTAGTTCCAGCTCCTGCCAACCTAGCAGTTCGAAAGCAAGAAATTGCAAGTAGATAAATAGGTACCACTTCGGTGGGAAGGTAACAGCGTTCCGTGCGCCGTGGTGTTTAGTCATGCCGGCCACATGACCATGGAAACGTCTTTGGACAGCGCTGGCTCTTCGGCTTTGAAACGGAGATGAGCACCGCAACCCTAGAGTCGGATTCGACTGGCTTTCGAGCAAGGGAACCTTTACCTTTACCTTTACAAGGTTAACTGCACATCTCTCTAACATCACAGAGTCCATCTAGCATCCTGGGCAATACCTGTGGAGCCTTGGTCAGATCATCAGTGATGGTGCCTATAACTGGAAGTGAATTGAAAAGAGAGGAGTTAATCAGTTGCTGGTTGAGAACCAACGTTCCTGCTCCCAAACAGGTGTTGCTACTGCTGCAGTTGGGATTACAAATCTGAAGCTCTGGCTCCTGGATGGGTTCCTGTAGTAATAGGAACCACGTCTGCCTACAGCACCAGTATGCCTGTGGAGTTCCTCATATGTGTATTTACATCCTTGGATTGAAATAGATTTTTTTCTAGAAATCTGTATTTAATTTATTCCATTCTATCTTTTGCTAAGGAAAATGTCTGTCTGTCCGTCTCTCTG